CAACCCCGTGACAATATGCGTTTTGTACTGCTGTTACACAGCACAAAACGCATAAAAATCAGAACAGTGAGATTTCGAGCTGGTAGTGCAGTTTGTTTGTCTTTCAGAATATCTTGTAACAATTGGCAGAAGAGAGCGCGATGGCTTTAGAGTATTAATGTGTTATATGCGAGAGCGTTTGAAGGATATCCCGGAATCGGCGGGGCAAACAGTCAAAAAAGAATTACTTGACATATTCGAGGTGCGTAATTTGACAAATTATGTATTTTTGTAGTTTCGTAGTCTCCTCGTAGTAGTAGTATGGCTTTCATGTGCAGAGATTTTGGCGAGCAGTATGCGATGAATTCGGACTTTGTAGAGATTGCCAGAGATGGAGGAGCGTGAAATTGCGATAAGTAAGCTGGCGGAGCAGACAGTGACAGAATGGGACACAGTTGAGCATTCTCTTGTCGTAAACGAAGAGGAAGACGAGAAACAGAGTGCAAGGATCGCCAACGGCATCATTTCTCAGCGTTGTTAACTTTGACCATCCGTATGGTGGGGGAGGGGGTCAGGGTGAATCGGTGCTGCAGATATGCAGTTTTGTCAGAAGTGCAGCTTGTTGTTGTGCGGCCCTTTATAAATACAGATTTGCGTAAGGTTTTACTTGCAAGCTTACAGTAGAGGCACAGCCGAAGCACGGGGGTTTCTAGTTTTATTGGCGACTGAGATTACAGAGCGGTTGTTTTAGAGTTGCTGTAGCAGCAGAAGGGCCTGTTCTTAACGATAGCTGAATGTTCTGATATTGAAGATACGTGCACTTGTAAATGTACAAAATCGAATGTTTATCCATTTTCATGCATTTTTTACACCTATGCAATGCAAAAACGCATATTGTCGAGGGCTTGTCTGTTTGTGTGTATGTGCCTGTCTGGCGTCTGTTTCGAGACCTGTAAAAGCTACAAGGCTAAAACTTTCGTACCTTAATCTACATCTGTGTACGAGCCGCTCTCCTCAAAACGTA